ATATATGCATACATATACGGGGAACAATCTGACATTAAAACATTAAACAAACATTATTACGCCTTAATGTCAATATGCAGTATGATACTGCAAACAACTTCTGCATAAAACCTTACGAAATAAGTTACTTCATGAGTTTTAAACCATACACAAACAACATCATGTAAAACAAGCGTTTTGCTGAAGGTGACAACCTATCAACGTTTTACACTTACACCTTACAAGAGTCCTCAAAATGAATGAAATAGCCGTTATTGACGAATGCCAGATGGTGACTGCTACACTTGCTTACCTTCATTAGTGCTGTCTAACGTGTCAAAACGGAATGTCTACAAATCCACGAACCAACTACTTCAGTATACACTGATCCATTATTTTCAAATTACTTTAATAATAAGAAAATTTACTTTTATGCTTCTAACGCAGTACTCAACTCATCAGAGGAAAACAATGACTGACAACTCAATTTTGGTATTAAAATTAAATATGACACTTTGACATCTTTTCAAGTAAAATTAGTAAAGGAATATAATAATTTCATTCTTGCTCAAAACCTTTCGTCCATTTTTTTAAATATTTGTTTGGAAACTTAAAAAACGAACTAAAAAGAAACTGGTCATTTACTTGAGAAATTAGTTAAGACCCCAGATGACAAAATAGCAATCTTTACTCAGAGTCAATGAATTTCATTACCGACATCGAAGAAATCACTAGGGTTTAGGATACTGCCGACATTAATAAAAAAATGGGTCCTCTGTAAGTAAAATTTTCATAATCGTTTTTTCTTTTAACATGTTAACTGCACGTAATGAAAATATTCAAATGATTAATGATGGGTTCAGAATGAAAACGTGAATTATGAAACGTCTACAAAATGAAGAATTTTAACATATTTCACTCTCAATTTTAATTTAAACCTAATTAAATCTTCTACGCAATGCAACACGGAAAAGTGTCTGTTATGAATAATAAAAGAAATAACAAGAGGAGTGAATGGGCAATAGCAAATACAAGAGTCTTGAAAATCGCACGCGATTTCTTTACGCGGGAGGTGATACAATCTTGAGGTAAGTCACAAACGGGAAGACAACGCATAAAATGTTCTTTAATTAGGGACATTTGACGTTTTGAACCAAACTCGGTCCGTCTTCACAGTACAATGAAGATGGACCGAGCTTGCTCAGAAACGTCAGATGTCCCTAATTAAAGAACATTTTATGTGTTGCCTTCCCTCTTTGACTTACCTAAAGATTTTACAAGAGTCTACGACATTACTGGCCGAGTTAAAAAGTTAATGTCATCTTGCAAGAAAAACCGACCATTGCTGGAAAAGGCAGGATAGACTCCAGGAGAGGCTAAAAGGAAGGTAATGACCTCCAGATCGATGAAAAGATAGGCTGAAAAAATTCGCTATATCAAGATGGATAAGAATTACTGGAAACAGGAGTCTACGGAAAAATAATGGAAGCTTTCAGCCAGTAGTGCGTCGAAAAAGTCAGGTGATTATCAAACTTTCTATAAAGGTTAATGAATTTTAGCTAGAAAAAAAGAATGGGAATTTCACCTTTTGATCCCTCCAACAGTAACCAACAGGACGTTAATTCAGTCGAAGCTGCCGCTGGAATCATGTAGCCAGCAAGTACTAAACTCGAACGAGTCCGGCCTTTGAACTGAACGCTAGCTACATGATACCCAAACATGCAGCGAAACGGCATGCCAGGTGCCAAAGTACGATCAGCAGACCAATGACACCGAGCAGGCCTGCTTGTTTGTTTAATGAGTAGCAGAGGAAAGATTCATAACAGTACTAATTCTCATTCAAATGTTATGAACGAATGAGTACCTTGACTGTTGGAAGTTTTTGCACAGTCGCAGCAACTTAATTTGTAAGTATCTGACAAAAGACCACATTGTCCACGCTTACCCATTTACATTCAAAGCACTTCATAGATTCATGGCGTTTACGAATGTTCAGCATAGCTCGCTAAAATATTTCTAAATACCAGTTTATAATTGAATTTCCTTCTGCGCGTAATACCTCTTGATATCATCATTTTAAATGGCCATTATAATGTGCTGAGGGCAGGTATAGCGGAAGAGCAGGAAGATCACCTGGCATTTCGTATTGGTTCTCATTCCTGCGTGCCATATGTTTTCTGGATCAAAACAACAATAACCCTGCAAATTTCTCAGTATGTTTCGAATTAGAATACTGATTCATAATAGGCCATGCGGTGTCTCAGGTTTAATCCGTTGACATCGCTTCTCCATATCAGTCACTTGAAAGGTTAGGAATTAGCTGTTTCTCTGTTTAGTTAGGTCACTCAATCAGTGATGCCTCCAGCTCTTAGGTGTCTCAATATGCCCACTCATCAAACCACTATCCGCTTGTACGAAGCATCAGATAACACCCTCAACGAAGAAAACTAGATGTCAAGACTAAGACTGACATAAGAGGCCAAGACTTAAGACCAGGCCAAATGACAATCACTAGATAAACAAATATCAACAAGGCAAATTGAAACGATTAAAGATCACAAGATCCTAAGCAAGATTAAAGTCACTGACCATAAAGAAATATCTTATCGTTCTACTACAAGGCCGAAAAACAGATGGTAGCGTCTGGTTCACGTTGTGATTCAAAGACTGTATAAAAAAGAGAACTTAACTCTTTGCATGGTGTAAAAATAATAAAATCGTTATATATAGGCAGATATTTATGGCAATCTGCCATAACGAGGAATTTAGCCTCAAAATACGAACGTAAAAACAAACAAAAAAGCAAAGCTGCCTGTTCTTAGAAACAACTTGGATTGAATTTTGAAAAAGGCAACAAAGTTGAGGAAAATTTACTAATAGAAGAGCAGCAACAATTCAAGAACACAGCTGAGGCCATATCACGCTTTTCTAATATATAAATAATAAACAAATTTGATCTGCTCAGACACTTTCTCTTCTCGAAATCAGCAGAAGATTTATGTCTGCAAATACAGGAATTTTATACGAACCGCGACGCTAACAACTGCAATGACCTGTTTTATTTTCGAAACATTGGAAAGACCCGCTAGTTGTGAAAAGATATCACTTGCTTAAATCACCCGCCATGAACCGCATGTTACTACACATCTGTCGCTCCTCAAAGAGGTTCTAAACCATTAAATGTCCCAAAAACGCCTCACCGGAATTTATGAATGAAACTGCAAATCTATTTTTCGGAAAAAGATCATCTTATAATCTGCTGGTCACTTTCAGAATAAACTAGTATGTTCGGCTGTGAAGAAAAAAGCCGTTAGGATTATGCGAATATTTCCAGCATAATTTCCCCAAAGTAAAGTGCACATTTAGAAAGAAATATCTACCCAAAACCGTAATTCAGGAATCATACCAAACGTAAGGCCCCCAAACTCAAAGAATTTATGAAAGTAACGAAAATCACTAGACTTAATGTCGCTGAATTAAATTTGCAAACAACAATCCAAACTAACTAATGCTTACTATCGATTAGCACTACAGCTTGAGGATAAATGCACAACGGTACGTCGCCGAACAGAACGAACTGTCGCAGTTGAGTGCTGACCATCACTACAGACAATTGATTAATCGGTACAAAAAACAAAGCATCGTAAAAACATAAATAAGTAAGAAAACCAGTCAATCCGAAGTCCAAAAAAAGACACGAAGACAAAAAGATATTCACCACTACTAAACTAAATGACTAGGTTTCGAGACGCTGCTGAACTTCCAGCAGAAAAGCACTAATCGATCTGTTCATAGAAGAGCGACGCCTTCGCTTTAAGTTGCGAAATTTCATGAATGTTTTGCTCACAAGCTGCAGGGATTAGAAGCTACAAATAAACGGCTATTTAGTGTGACGGATTTCGACTTATATCAAAACCACTGAATTACAAGAAATTTGCATACAATTACTTAGCCCGCCTATTATGCTAAACTCAGTAGAAAAGAGCATCGAACTTTAAACTTGCAACTGACGTCTAAACTTTAGTGTTAACTGACTTAAATATAAGTGCTAATTCGCCATAAAAATGGTTTAAAAAATACTGCACTGATGTATAAGACACCAAAAAGTAAAATCAGTTTAAACTAATTGCTTCGCAGACCTCCCCCCCCGTTGTTGCTCTTCCTATAAGAAGCGTCCTACTAATAACATATTGAAACCGACGCCCACTGAAATTTATTCTCAAGTCGAATTTATTTCTGAAACAAAATTTTAGCATTTAAATATTAGGATTATATTTAAAGAAGGCTAATTAATAGATAAACAGGGATGAGCAGCCAACAACTAGAAAACAGTTGAAGCATTTTCGAAGTTGGCTGCAACAGAAATGTTAACAAGGTAAATGAAAGCTCTGTGACACGGCACATGCAGTACAATACAGTACATAGAGCCATTAAATACATTTCACGTATACTTTATTACTAATTATACTGCTGCAAAACTATTGCAAGATATGTTGACGATCTAGTTTAAGAAATTAATTCTAAAGTTTTGAACTGACAATAGAATAAGCAATGTCAAATAAAATCATTAATGCTTTATACCTTTCTACCAGATTACCTCGTGTTTTAACTGAGAAGAACAACTGAAAAATAAACTTGTTTTTGCAAAATTACTTGAAAGACGGACCTCACGGTTAAAAAACCTACTCTAACCGCTCCTGACAATAAAATACTCAAAGCCTAACTGAAAATAAAGATAAAGAAAATTTTTCAGCACAAAGAATGTAAACAAAACTTCAGGTTATCATGAAGAGAAATAATGTTTACGATTAATACTCTGAAGGTGCAATTCAAAAATAACTCTGGGAATAAAAAACCACACAATTTTTGTCAAAAATGATCAACAGGACTACTCGACGGAACTAAAACAGTAAAAGCGTATGTAATCGAACAGAAGCACTGGCTGATTATGAGAAAATATGAGATAAATCGAAAAAAACATGAATGTAATAATGAAAATCTTTTCTGTCATTACAGGCAAATTAAAAACGACTGACCTCTTTCATTTTAAAAAACGTGACTCCAGTAAGAAGACTATCACTACCGGCTTGATGCTGGGGTCCCACTCGTTCAATCTATAAATTAGCATATTTTGCGTCAAAAAACAAATATAGAAAATATTACTTTAAGCAGATCAGCAACTTCCTGAAGTCCGCCCTTCAAGTTTTTTGTAGATTTCATCAAATACTTTACGTCGTAGATAACAGGAAAAAACAGCTGGAGCAATTCGAAAAATTCAACTTCGTCCGCAGGCAGCGAAACGTTGGTAAGAATTTTTAGCAAGTAAGCAAAGTCATATCCGCTAAGGAAAAAACATAAGTGTAAAGTACAAAATATTTAAAACAAAAAATGATACAGACAATAAAAATTTATAATCAGCCATTTCCGCTTGATTTGGAATAATAATTCAATTCATAAGCTCGGTACTTCACTCGGAAAAGCGTCGAATCTATGGCTGCAAGATCGCGTTCTACTTCCAGACGGATCAACTTCCTTATATTATCCCAAGTTTACAAATAAATGCCATTTGAAAATAAAAAAACAAGAGAGTACAAGTTTTGGTTGCGATAAAACCGCAGACTTCATCTTCATCTTCCATCGCCGCTTCAGCTTTCGGGTCGCGGAGGCAGACGCGTCAGACAGTGCTTCCAAATGGACTTTACTAGTGATGGAAAGTTGGAGGAAGAGATCGACCGGCGAATTGGAGTAGCCAGTGGCGTTCTGCGTTAACTGGCCCGACCCAATGTGACTAAAGCAGAGCTCAGTCTGAACTCTCGATATTCAAGTCGATCTTTATCCCCCCCATACTTAC